GAAAGAAAAGAAACAAAATGAGAGACAACAGCAGTTACAAGAAAACCTGCAACAGTGGCAGCTCGAACGAGAAAATAAACAAGAGGCGAGACTACAGCAGTGGTTGGAGGAGAAAGAAAAGAAACAAAATGAGAGACAACAGCAGTTACAAGAAAACCTGCAACGGTGGCTGCTCGAACAGCAAAATAAACAAGAAGAGAGAGATTACAGCAGTTGCTGGAGGAAAAGGAAAAGAAATAAGAAGAACGAGAAAAGAAACAAGATAAATTACAGCAGTTGTTGGAGGGAAAAGAAAGGAAACAAGAAGAGAGATTACAGCAGTGGCAACTGGAACAGGAAAGGAAACAGCAAGAAAATCTCCAACAGTGGCAAGAAGTACAAATTGAAAACATTAGTAAATTTCAAAGTGAATTAAATACATTAAAGGATGATTTATTGTCTTTTACACAAGGAGGATACATTAACCATCGACTTAATCAGCCCAGACAATGGCAAGCCCTTTCTAGACCCCACACTAAACCCTCATGCAGACATCTTCAGTCCTGTTAGAAGTCACATCCCAGATATGAATGTCAGCAATAGGGGTGATCCAGTACGAAAGAAGCCACAGGAATTCGCTGGGAAGACACCGTGGGAAGCATATAGAGCACAATTTGAGCTACTGGCAGAAATGAATGGGTGGACAGAGTAGTAGAAAGCAGTATATCTGGCAACGAGCTTGAAGGGACAACCACTGGAAATACTTGGACAGTTGTCAGCAGATGACAGACACAGCTATAGAGCACTGTTAGCGGCTCTAGAACTCAGGTGTGGAACCCAAAATCAGTCAGAAGTATACAGGGCTAGGTTTAGGACGAGAGTTAATGCTAAAGGGGAGAGCCTGCAAGAGCTGGCTCAGGACATGGAAAGCATGGCACACAAGGCCTACCCAACTGCACCACCCGATCTCCTTAAGTTGTTGCTGAGGATCAGTTCGTAGATGCCTTGGACATTCCAGTCCACAACTTAAGATACAAGTGAAGCAAGCACACCCCTCCACCATGCAGGATGCAATGGCCAGAGCTCTCGAATTTGAATCCTACATTAAGTCCAGCACAGGGGTATCGAGGTTGGTACAGTCATCTGGATTCAAGGCCAGAAAAGGTCAGCTTTCAGAGAAGTTTGAAGGACTTTGCTGGCACTGTAATAAACCTGAGCACAAGAGAGCTCAATGTTGGCAACTTCAACACAGGGTAGATGCCACAGCAGGAAAGGCTGGTATCCAGAAAGGTTGTTGGAACTGTGGAAAGCACGGACATTTGAGGAGCCATTGTAGGAGGAATATTACCAACAAGTCAACCTCAAGGAGACCAGTAATGGTTGGTGTTGAGGGACGCTCACTGAACCCCATCATGAAAGTCCCAACAGCTAGGTGTAAAATGCCAAGCACACACAGTGTCTATGTGACAGAAAAGCTGGATGGCCAAAGGTGCAACTTTGTTATAGATTCTGCATCTCAGCAAACCCTTGTGAGCATCAAGGTGTTAGATCACAAAGGAGTAACAGAAGCCATACAGAAGTTTTGTGGTGTGACAAGACATTCTGCCAGGTTGTGGGGACCAGTGTAGGTAAGTACTGAGCTCATGGGCATAAAGGACAGACAAAAAGTATACTTGGCTGACATTGAAGACGAATGCATATTAGGATTGGACTATCTACTACCGAGGAAGTTTGTAATTGATTTTGATAAAATGACGTTTGGGAACAACAAAGGCCAAGTTCTGGTAACTGTTAAAAGAGAGGTTGAGCTATCCAGGTGTCATCAAGCTGAAGTCAATGTGACTGAAGGAGTTGATGATGGTGAAATGGAACCAAATATAGATATTAAAGCAGAACAGGAGAATGACCAAGATTTGAAGCCAATAATTGATTTTCTACAAGCAAGTGTTTTGTGCCCTGCTTGGGAGAAGGTGTCTAGCTTGAACCCTGTGACAAAGCACTATTGGGCACAATGGGACCAGTTAAAGCTTGGAGATGGTATTCTTGTACAGAGATGGAAAACTATAGATGGGAAAGGGACGACTTGGCAAACAGTTATACCGAAGAAGCTACAGGAAGTTGTGTTGCATCAATCCCATGATAATTTAACAGGAGGACATCTCGGAATTAAGAAAACATTGAGTCACCTACGACAAAAATTTTACTGGATAGGTATGAGGCGAGATGTGGAAGAATGGTGCAGAACATGCAGTACATGTAGTGCTGAAAGGAGACCCAAGCAGACGGGACACCTACCTTATGAAGAGTTGCCTGTGAATATGTCAGAGTTTGTGAAAGCGTTATCGGAAAGGATAGATGATATTCACCATCAACTGCATTCAAACTTGAAAACGTCTGCTGATTCGATGAAGTTATCTTATGATAAGAGATCTACTGAAGTTAGCTTTGAACCAGGAGAAAATGTGTGGTTGTATAATCCCAGGAAGACCAAAGGGAAGTCTCCTAAGTTGTCTTCTCCATGGGAAGGCCCATATGACATAGTGGATCGTCTCTCAGACGTGACTTTCCGGGTAAAATGTGGTCGGCGAGGCAAGCCAAAAGTGGCGCATGCCAACAGGCTTTGGCGTTATCATGGTCCAGGACATTTCAGTTGGGATGAAGTGGACAACAGAACAAATGGCACTGCTGAAGACGTGCCACCTGAAGAAGCCACCATCGAAGAATAAACTCTACTCAGCTTTGAGAAGGGAAACGGTGAAGCTCTTGATGAAGTTACTACCATTGACGAGACTGTTATCGACGATTGGACATTTCCTGATGAAGCAGATGAACCACATATGAAGCAGAAGCCAACGAGACGGAGACCAGTACGGAAGAAGATACGTCCCGTAAAATTAAGAGACTTTGTTGAATTGTAATTTTGTGTTTGTAATTCTGTACATTTAATTAAGTTATTGTTAATTGTTACTGGTTTATTGTAAGTGGCTATTGTTCGGGACGAACAATACTAAGGAGGGAGCAGTGTTGCGTCAGCGAGGTCATGTGACTAGTATCACGCCACTAAAATTATCCTGTTCCTTCAAGAATGCTCTAGCGTTTACTAGATATGTGTCAGTCTTGTATATATAAGACGGTCACAACGTGACGGAAGAGAGTGTGTGTAATTGAACGGAGTATTGTTGAGTCGAGCACGTGAGACGTTCGTTGAGAATTATAGGGTTTGTTATAGCGCGACTGTTGAAATTAAGTGTATCGCAAAGTTATATTCAGAAAGAATAAACCAGTTTTATTTAAGAAAGGACTTGTGTCGCTAAAGTTTCGTCGGAACGAATTTACGGAAAATTAACTAACGAACGGAGACGTAACAACGATTTACATTTGCTATATAAGTCAAATGTGTAAAAGTGTGGGGTGCTGTACCGGTTCCGGCGTCTCTGGAAAACATCCTATTTTACTGTAATTTTTAACAGAAATCTAAAAGGGGGAAAAATAAAAATAATTTTGAAATATGAAATAAAAACTGATAAAGTCTACACCAGAGTTCTATAATAAAATGCTTGAATTTGACTATTAATAAGTTATATGTGTGTAAGTAAGTGTGTAAAATGTGTAATTTTTAACTTAGGAATAGAAAAGCTGGTACTGGTCAAAACTTTAACTTTCGAAATAGTTTTTCTTTATACTATGTGGAGTACTAAAATAATAAAAAAAACTCTTAATATTAGATAAATACACAATACCAAAGAGAATCCGCTAATATATCAAAATGTCTATCTATAGAAATATCAATCTAAACTGTATTTCACTAGTTAGTTCTAAACCCCTCCTGGGCCACGTGAGAGTGGTGGCGGTAAATTATAAGCCTTTTTTAAGTTATTGCTCTTGTTTTGTTGAGCATTTTTAAGATATCGATGGTAATTACATACTAATTTTATATTTTAAACAGTTTTCATTAACATATTTTCACGTATTAGTATAACTTTTATATTTTAATTAATACGTTAATTAAAAATAAAAGTTAAGAATCAACCGGCAGTGTTAATATTATACTTATAGTTATACTTTATAGTATTAGTATTACAAACGCTTAAGCCTAACTGTAACAATTATAATAACTTGATTCAATAAGGGACATTTGTTTTAAATTTAAAACTAAAAAGTACATAATTGAATAACATCTTTTACGTTGTAACTAAGATCATGATAACAACATAATAAAAATAAAGTTTTATAGGCTAATGGTGTCGAGAGAGTTGCCCAGATATCAGGCTAACTTTTTTTTTTTTTTCACTATTTAAATGGTAAATTGTATTTTGTGAGAAATGATCGCCTATGCAGAAATCTAGACTAAAGTGAGAAAACGGCACTGCTAGTAATGTGGATATCCATCTAATGGTTGTGAAGATGTTAGTTCGAAAACATTTGGTATAACTTGTAGTGTGCTACAAGATTTTATTATTATTTTTCGTTGTTGTTGAACTGAAAAGAAAAACAGCATATCACATCATTGTTCACATCAGTAAAATAAAACTAAGTTGTAATTTGTGAGCGTAGACATTTTAAAACAGAAGTTTATTTCATGCAATCAACTGTAGTTTGTGGTGTTTTTTATGAAAATTTCATCATAAACTACAGAAATTACCTCTTATGTTTATTTGAACGCTGGAACTATGAAACAGTGAGCATCTAAAAATTTTAGTAATGCCATTCTTTCACATTAAAAATGTATTTAATTGATTTTTAGGCTTACTCTTTTGCACTTGGCATATTATGCAAAAACGTCATGTATAAACTGTCTAGCAGAAACACTAAAATGGTAATTATATCACATATGTCTGGAAGAAACATTAATAATGTAATGATTATAAGAGTAAATAAAGAACAAGGTAAAACAGAATGCTATTTTGCCTGTCAAGGTCAGCCTTATGTCACAACATCCTAATCAATTTACACATAACCATACAACAGAAAACATAGCATTTGTTTTTTCTTTTTCTTTATTATTCAGTTTTCAAATGTTTTTGAACATTGGTGGTTTGATGTTAGTGGCAACTTAGTTTTAAACAGCTAAGTAATATAATTTCCAAGTGAGACTATTCCAAATAGTTTTTTGCTTATTTGTAGTTGTAAAGGTACCAATAAAAGTGTATTGAAATACATTATTTTAGATTAACAAAAATCAACCGTTAAGTTGGGTTTCATGTTTTTTCCTTCCATGTTATGATGCAGTTTCAAACATTTTCTTTGTGTGTTGATTTTTTTTCATGTCTCTGCAGATGTTTGGAAAGTCTTTTCACACCAGTGTCCAGTTGAGGTGACAATGGAAAGTGAGAAACTGACCAGTCAGTAAAAACTACATTACACAGTATTATAGTTTCACTTATTCACTTGTGTCTGATTAGAATGTTAAGAGGAGTGTCTGACTGGATATAATGTTATTAGGTTTGCTGATGTTGCAAGATGTCTGATTGTATTAGTCTTTGCAGGGATTTACAAGATTGAAATTAATCTCAGTGAAAATGTTGTAATTACATGATTTTAAGCGATAGTTTTCTGTAGGTAATATCCTGTTGGTTTGGTTGGTAGGCTTGTAAAATAATAATGTTGATCTTTTACAGGACAATGGTGTTTTTTACTTGCAATGCATGTGGTCAAGCTGTGAAGAAGAATCAGGTTGAAAAACATTACCAAACACAGTGTCGTAACTGTACAGTTTTGTCATGTATCGATTGTGGTAAAGATTTTTGGTGAGTTGAATACACAGATTGATTGCTTTTTTCTAATTTGAAATTTTTTTTTCAATCCAGTTAAAAAAATTTATGATGATTGATTTAATAAACAATCTTTTCATATGAAAAGATTTATAGTACAGATAGTTATAAACATGTACATTTAGAAAACAATGAACATTCACAACTTTATTCCTATCTGTTACTTTAGCCCAGTCACTATGTTCTATTTTCTGAAGAAAATGAATGTGTAGAGAGTTTCAATATCATAGTGAACCATTTGATCTTTCAATCTCGTCCTTGCTCACCTATCTTTGAGAAAAAGTAAAAATTCAAACCTACTGTTTATTATTCAGGAAATAATTAATTTCCATCTTGAACTCTGGTAAAGTGCTTGCCTATACTATTGCCTATGGCAACTCATTCCATAAGTCAGTCACCCTGATAGAAATATAAAACTGTCTTAACTGGAGTCTAGATTTTCTTTTCCAAATCTTAAACTTGTGTCCTTCTGTCCTGTTATCTTTAGAATATAGCACAAAGCAATCACAGGCTTTTATCCTACCAGCTCCACAACTTATTTTGTAAACTGCAAGTTCAACTGAGACCCAGGCCAAGGTGGCCCAACATTAGTCCTTGTTGCTTTCTATGGTTTCTTGTCTTTCTCATTCTTCTCCAATTGTTACTTTTCCTTTTTGAGGTTCCTGTCATTATTTCTTTCTGCTCTGGGACCCCCTCTCCTTCCAGGAATCTATCAACTCCTAACTATACTGGATGTTTTTTAACTTATCAGGTTGATGTACTCTTCCTTGGATCTTGATGCTGGCAGTCTTTTTCAAAATTTATCTCACTCTCTTGCATCCCATTTTCACTGACCCTTGGACAAGATCCTTCAGACTGGCTTGTGGACAAATCTGCACATTTTCTCCCATCAGCATCATCATTTGGCTGTTTTGTCTCTTGCAGGATTTTGAGTCTTTCCAGTTGCTATTCTTCAATCTACACACTGTCTTTGAGAAGAGTAAGTACATTTCCTTTTTTCATCACTTTCTTCCATCTTATAGGATCCTGCCAGGTGGCTGATGTTGCCTCCCAGGATATGCTTACTTCCCAAAATCTGCATCAGGCCAGGGATAAGGGAAAGCACTCAACCTATCTACCCAGACTCTACCAGTGTCCACTGTTGAGAGGGGATATTCCACAAGACCACTAGAGGTATTCTCATGGTATTAAACTTGCTCACTTGCCTGATCCAAACCATACCATTCCATAAACTGTCATGGAAAAGCCAGCACCAGAGCAGTATATCTGACCACTTCTCTGGCTACTGCCTGTCAGTTTTTCAAAATAGGGTTTCATGGCCAACCATTACACTGCATCCAATAAAAGACCTTTCTAGCATACATCAGGCAGGGATCTGAGTACTTCTCTGGGTTTCGCCACTGCAAATTCTCCTCCTCTTCAAGTGGAGTATGGGAGACCCTTGTCACTTACCAGTTCCTAGTTGCTGGGGTGGTGGAACTTGGATAGTTCCTCACTTTTATGTATAGCACAATAAGGTGGGAAGTAGGGCAGTGGTGGCATTGTCTGCATTGTGCAGGTCACTCCTCAAACAGCTGGTGTGCCCTCTTTATGCAGCAGAATGAGTTCATCTCCCATTGTCTTGGTATGTCAAGCTGAGACATACACAGTATGGTCTGATTGAGTCCTAATCACAGTACACTTCTTGGCTCACCGACCACTTGTGTGCAGGTGCTTGGTTGGTCATGCAAAAATTCCACCCATCTATGTGACACTTTTGCATTTCTCTCTCTTTCTTCTGAGTGAAGAGTATACCCTGCTTGAGAGAAGATGTGGCCTTCTATGGGTGTACCCCTATGGAACCTTAGCCATCAGGAGTCATGCTCCAGAGGCTTTCCCATTGGGAGTTCTCTGAAGAGAGCTCATCTAGGTTTAATGTTTGCACCAGCTTCTCTTACATTTCAGTGTAAGATACTGTATATTCTGTGTGAAGAGGTGAAGTATCATCTTTGAAGTAAACATTTTCTTTACATGAAAATGTATTACTGATAGATACCCACCTCTTCACACCTTTCCATCCATCCTTCACACTTCCAGTGCACTTTCTTATTTCTTGTCTAAGAATGAAGTTATTTCAAGCACAAATGCTTAGGGGAAGTTACTGTGCAAAAAGGTTGTGTTGCCCAACTGTTAATGGAGAGCTGTTATTGCATGATGTCATTGTGCATTAGCACAATTCACATTAAATACATGATTTTTACGTGGGAGTTAGCTCAAGGCTAGTGATATGCAAGTCTGATAGGCAGGTATGCAAGCTATTCTCTGTGAAAATGTGAATATCTATTGGAAATATGTTTTCAGTTAAGGAAAATGTTAACTTTGAGAAAAAAGGAAAGGAAAAAAATTAGTAAGGCAAGATTTCCATTTAGTGAATTGGTGTTGGCTTTCATTTGTGATATCATTTTTTACTAAATGAGTTTATAAAGCTTTTCTCATTTGACTCTAAAATGTTTCTCACCACAGAAGTAAGGCTAACTGGCCTAAAATTTCTAGGGCAATTCTTATCACTGCTTTGAGAAAAGCAACACTAGAGTCCTCAGGCATCTGTTCACTCTACATTGATCTACCTAAAATGAAAGAAAGAGACTTGCATACTTGGCCTTTGATTTGCTTTAACTCTTCCACCCTGGGTACCCTTTTAAACACTTTTCTGTGCAAGTCACTGAGTTACATTCAAAATTTAATAAAACACCTTTATTATCAATGTATGTGAATGAAATTAACATTATGATGTATGTTATGATTCAAAGTTTTATGTTATATAAGTTTTAATTCATCTATTTCATAAGAAACCTTTAAAACAAATACTTAAAACTTTGAGTTTTGTTGTTACGTGACCACGAGTCATGAAAAATCTCAAATTTTACACTCTTGATCTTGTTTAAAATAACACCAGTCATATAGATGTACATCTAGACAATAAGCATGTTTAGTTGCCCTGTTGACACATGAGTTTCAAAGATGTTTGGCTGAATACAGTAGAAACAAGTAATAAGTTCTGTCAAAACCCCACCCACCTTTTATACTTTTGCATGAGTTTTGTAACATACATGTGGTTGCTACAGATACATGTATATAATCATTAGCAAGAGCTCATTTTACACTATAATCCAACAACAGTTATTTTGAAATTGGCATGTAGTTGTCATCATCTGGTAGAAATACTGCCTGTAGTATTGTTGGCTGCTTTATCCATAATAGTACTTAGTTTTTTTTTCTCAGCTAAATATGTTATAGTTAGAGAGATAGTTAAATTGTATTTAGTTCTTACTCTTATATCTTAATTAATTATGTATTATTTACATTTTAAAATGCATAATTGAAAGGTTTAAAAATTTTTTAAATATATATCATACTTTGTGTCAGTTCTCAAGGCTTAAGAACTTGTGTGAGGGTAAGATAATTTTGCCGAAGGCTTGTGCATCTCTCCTTAAGGTACTGTAATTATGTCTCAAGGGCACTGTTAACTTGTACTGAGATGAGTAATAAAAGGTAAAGGACAGGAAAGGAAAATAAAACATTGAAAATTAACTATATGTGAAAAGGAAATGACCTGAGATTATGAATATAATCAAAAGATCTTTTAAGATATGCTATGAAAAATTAACAGATATGTAAATTTTTTCTAGTTCTTAATTTTAAACATTTCATTGCACCATATGTTGATAATAATATGTACAGTTAGTAATATAGTAGAGAAAAATAAAATATAAACATTTATCTTTAAAAACTTTAGATATTCATTTAGGAGGTCCTAGAGGTTATGCAAAGGAAATATGAAAACTATAAGATGAAGAAAAGTATTTTATGCTTAAAATGAAAATCACCGAAACTGAAGTAGAAACCTGTTGAACATAAAGCAATGAATCACTGCTCCTGCCATTAGAGTGTCTAGGTGACACCATAATACAATACTGTTAATAGTAAATGAACCCATGCAATGCAGTTACCAGAACTTTCCCACAGAATTTATCATAATCCTGTCTCCGAGAAAAGATGGTCAGAATTTAGCGTTATAGGTTTACAAAGTGTAAATGCTTATAAACATGTATGTATATATATTATTACTGTTTACTCATAAATGCTTAAGTTTTGTTATCTTTCTTAAAATGTAGTACAGTAAATAAAAAATATATTGAAAAACATTGTTCTGATACGATATCTTACCTCCTTTCACAAATAGTTTTTCTTGATCTCTACTGCCCTCTATATGCACAAATATTTGCTTACCACTAACCTTGATACTTCCACCTACCCTCATGTGTATTCATGTGAGACATCTGCATACTATCATGCAAATGATAATGCAGCAACCTTCCACCAATAGGAGCACAACACAACGTCCTGTTGTCACTAGCGCCCTCTCTTCCATGGAGCCCATAATCACTTCTTGATAGTCAGTCTTACTGTTAGGATGTGTTTTTGTTTGTGCTTTCATACTGATTGTTTTGCGTATCTTCATTTTTCATTTACTAGTTCATTATTTTTTTTCTTTCATGTTTCTAGTATTATTCCAAGCACATATATTTTTTTCCATGTTTTTCAAATGGTTTTTTTATATTTGTGACTTGAATTTGGAGCTTCAAATGGCATCAGGGCAAGCTTTTTTTGCAGAGGATATAATGGCTCTATTCAAAAGGAGTTGGCTACCTTTATGCAGTCTTCTAGGTCACCAGATGATTGTTCTCTATTACCATGTGAGGGTATGCTTGAACATGTGGATGTTCCCTCCTCTTGCCTATGCCTCACTGTTGCATTTTGTTTTGAGAGAGGTGCCCAGGGCTCCTCCTCCTCCCTTTGCCGACTTAATATTTCAGGTATGGTGTATTTTATTTTTGTTTCCCATTTCCTTTGATTCCTCACCTGCCTTTCTCAGTGTTGTGGCAATGGGCTAGTATCTAGTGTTTCAACTGCTTCACTGATATTGGAGCTCACGC